TATATATATATGTATTCAAAATCTGCGCCGATGGCATAATTCTTATTGCTGGTATGTCTGTGGAAACAGACGGCGTTAAATTGGGAGGAGCCCATTGTCATTTCTGCCTCAGCTAGGAAATACATAGCACAATTTACAGCACGAAATATAACACCAAAAGTCTACAGCTGATGCAGATTTTCATGACATTCCCGAAATGCTTATTGGCTGGATCAGGAGAAGGCCATTACAAGCATCCTAATGGCCGTTACTTATCATCCATTGCTCCACCATCTTTCCATCTCACTTTGCCCAGGTCTTCTACTGCTATTATGCAGAGGGCATCGAAGTGCGAATGCGAAGTGTGATAACTAACGAAAGTACAAGAACGAATGCAAACTGAGATGGAAAGATGGTGGAGCAATGGATGATAAGTAACGGCCAATAGGATGCTTGTAATGCCTTTTCCTGATCCAGCCAATAAGCAAAAGCACCGCCGAGCGAACGGCGTGGAAAATGCCGTTTGCGATCATGTGATAAAGTAAAATTCAACGGGCAGGTCATGTTCGTCCTACTGACAACTGTTGGTGTATTAGTGAATAATACTCGCAACAAACGGCACGAGCACTTTTTTATTTTTTATTATTTTATTTTAAAAAATTTTTAAAGGCCTTGTGTACTAACTGAAGGCATGCAGTTCAGGTCTGAAACGCCTAACAGGCATAGCTACGCCAAGCATATGGACGCAACTCGTTGACAACAGATTCTTAGACTGACTATTCTGACGGTTTGGATAGTCTTGATATCCAAAGTGCAGGTATGTTACAGATCTTAGGAAACACATATTTCGCATTACAGATTCAATTATACAAAAAAGGATAAGAGGGGGTTTTTTTTAAGGCAAGAAAAGCAAGTAAATCCAACAAGACATAACATCAGGAACAAATGAATTCCTGCATCATCTGATAAAGTCAAGACCATCAAACTAACCTGGCTAGAGCGTCAGATAATTCTACAATCCGAACTATTATAGCTAATGTCAAAAACCTTCCTTTGCGCCCGCTTTCAGTCGTTTTTTTTTTCAGTAACTTGCCGAAGGCTATCCATTTTTCTCTTTTTCTTCCCTTAGGTACTATCCTAATTATTGAACCCCTTTTTCTTCCAATTACGATAGATGGCATTGCCTGCCTTCAGATATGATCATTTACATGCCCTTTTCATTAAGCATTATCAATGAATCAAACGATCTGTAAGATATTTTGTTGTGTTCTGTTCGTTGCCAGTTCATCAAAGATATCTCGAAATAACCAAAGATACCCGTCAAATGCTTTTGTTCGGTAGAATCGCTGAGCTGGTAATCAGACAAAACGAAAATCAGAATTACAAGCAGGCTAGTTATCAGGTTATGCAGCAAAACTGGTTAAATCATCCGGAAAAGCTGCCGATTGCAGAGGTGGAAAATCAGACGATGAACTATTACTAACCCAAATGTCCCCATATGCAATCGTCAAGAGACACTCCAAACAGACTTAGCTTTAATACCATTTACTTCAACTGACATAAATCTACAACTCTGTGGTACCTGTTTATTTAATGCACGTATTTGATCGTGTAGTGACTGTATCGATTCATTGTGCTCCTTTTGGATCATTGTCATCTTCAATTTCCCTCGCTGCTCCTGCACTATGATCTCAGAGTTCAGTTCCGCAATCTGAAAACGACTGTGAGCTGTGGAACTCCAGGCTGGAATGCACCAGGCTTGTTGGTTCGGTCATGCGTTTTTGCACTAAATTCGCAGGTCGCTAACAGGAGGAATGATCCCTGCGCTATAACCCAACAATTGAACTCATACTGGCCGGCATGCAGGAGAAAGGGCGTCGGTTGGGATGAAGGTGTTGCATAATAGGGCCGCATGGGCCACTAGGTACAAAATCATCAGTTTTTTGCATGAGGCCCAGTCGTTTTTTTGGTAAGTACTCGCTCTTCAAAAAAATGCAAATTTCCAGTGGAAATGTTGGTACAGTGGTCGTTCGTCAAAAAATCCAAATGCGAAAATGAGTTCAGTTATATATTGGGAGAGGATGAAGGCGTTCGCTTGCTGCAAAATACACTCGTTTCTGATTTTTCGGCAAAGTTGAGTATTTCTCATGCTCATCTGCAGGGCATTTCACCCGCAAGCAGAATTAAAACCGCACTTGAAAGTGGAATATCCCGGCGAATTTTCAGCCTCGCATATTAACCAGTAAGCAAAGCAGCCACTTCACTACAAATATCTTTGAAGTCCCTAACTTGTGGTGCAAATGCAAATCGATATTCATTTAAGGTATGCGATTTCCCATACTGATGATAAACACGCTGACAAGACTTCAGCCACTATTTTTCCGCAAGTTTTCGAGTTAGCACAGCACCAAGTTGCAGCCCTTGACGTGATCGTACGTGCTGCACAAGTGTACGCGACAGCTGAATTTGAAAACTTTAAAGTTTCAGCTTTGTACCTTGCCTGATTCGTGAAATGGTTTCCAGCCAAAGAAATGTGTATATTTTTTTGGGGGTGAGGAGGGGGGTCCATACGCGGGGCCCAGTCGCGTATGAGGGAACATCTTAAAACGGGATGGTAACAAACGGGGTAGAAAAATACAGCCAAAAATTTCAGCCTCCCAAATTTTCTGGTTGCTGAGGTGAAAGTGGGTGACAAAAAATGCACTCGCTTCCAAACACACACACACACACAGACGACCTCTCGACAATATGCGTTTTTGCTGGCTGTAGCGCTGCACAGCGAAAACATATAAAAAAGGAATAAACTTTTCATCAACGCCAATTTTTCAAGTCAGGTGAACTCCTCCCTCGACTTCTGATCACCGTTTAAATCAGTTCCAAAAAGATGATTTCCAGGCAGAAGTCTACCAACTATTGTCGATTAACTTCGTAACCGAAGTTCGATGCTCCAAAAAAATTTAATGCTGATGTATTTCGGCACCTCTTTCTGTGAATGACAGTTATTATAGAAGCGTGTGAAATTCCATCTTCTGAGGATTTCTTAGTGGCAAGCTGATGTCAGGTTGATAGTAAAACAATAAATTGAAATTTCAATTAAAATAAATAACAACCTTTTTGTCCCGTTCGAAAATAGTTTTATCTTTCTCCGAACACTTTTTCTGCAACTCCAGGATTTCATCTTTAAACTGCTGAATAACAAAGATATGCTCCGAGTGAGTGTTCTCGAACGTTGTTTCTGTCATTGCATTTTTCTGGAAAAAAACTGGGATTCAAAAATTTTTTCTTGAAATTTTCACAAAAAATTTTACTTGAAACCTTCACTACTATTATTGCAGTGATAACATATGCTGCAGGATAAATGCATGTTCTGATTTTTAAAAAAAAAACAGTTCCCACTTACACACCTTGGACACCTTTCTTTCTGAAGATATCTTTCGTTTGCGCTTCCAGTATTTGTCATCTTTCGATTTCGACGCAGAAGCAGTGATTTTGCTAGATGAAGCCTTCCTCGCCATCATGCACAACCGACAGTACTGCGGCCTGTCCTGCAAGCAAACGCAGATATGACAAAATTTCAGCCACTGTTTTTCGGCTAGTTTTCCAATTAGTGCGGGTCCAGGTGCAAACTCTGACGCGACCGTGCGCGCTGCACAACTGTGCGGCTTATCAGAGAGGCCTTCAAGTGCCCTCTTCTCCCATCAGGTTAGCAGTGCTCAGGCTTTCACATGAACAATTGTGCAAATTTAGGTAACCAGGCCTAGAATGAGCGAAAATGGGCATCGACAGCAGAGAAATCACACATCAGTAAACAGAAACTGCTCGAAATATCAAAATAAGCAAATGCATGCTCAAGTATTTTTTGACTGTTGCAAAGTTGTTACTGGAGAATCAGTGCCATAGTAAAAAATCACAAATATAATTTTCCGAATCTCATCCTTACTTCATGAACAACGCGATTAGCATGGCAATCGATATATGTAAGAATATTTCATACACAACTGTTTCTACGATCTGATTTCCCGTATTATTACCTTGCTTCTTTTTGCTTTAATTGTTTGTAAAGATTTTTTTTAGTAATTTAAATTTAAATATTTTGATTATGGAAAAGGTTGTAACGAAAAAGTAAC